CCTGGCCTGAGCTCTGGAATGAAAAGGGAAACTAGAGCTTAGAGGTCGAAGAGGAAGTTGGAAGTGTAGCCGGAGAAGTCCAAGGAATCAGTGGAACTTTTTAAGTCTCCACACAAGGAGTCTGTGCTTGAAGGGAAGCAGTTGACTTTTAAGGCACCAAAGTGGCTGCTGTCCTTGTTTTCCAGATCTGCGGGCACCACCTTAAGCTAGCTCCACCTTAAGCAGGCTCCACCCAGTATGGCCATTGGTCCCCGCTAGAGGCGGCTGGCACTGTCTCCTCCCCTTCCTAGTACACTCACCTTAGCTGCGGTCTGGCTATGGCTAAGTTCCTTCGAGTGGCAACCCAGAGGCTGTCTCCCTGGAGGGGCTACAGCTCCAGGGGGTCACAGGTATATGTCTGTGTGTGGATGGAGTTCTGGAGGGTGGGGAGCCCGGTGTGGAGTTCTCCGGGCTCTGTGACGTCATCTTGCAATATGACCAGCTCCCATTCTTCTGCCACAGGGCAGTGTTGTGGCTCAGTTATCTCTCCTATGACCCTTGCACCGTTCTTCCCGGCAGGGAAGACTCAGCCAGGACTTTGTGGAGGCTCTGAAGGCAGTAGTAGGGAGCCCCCGTGTCTCTACTGCTTCTGCCGTCCGAGAGCATCATGGGCACGACGAGTCAATGCACAGGTATCAAAAGCTGCTGCTGGGGCCGAGGGTCCCGGGCTGTCCTTGTCTCTTGCCACCTGTTTTGAATGTGCTGGTGTGCTCCTTAGAGAGGTGCTCTCTATCCCATCTGCTGAGGCCCAGTCCTCAGGGCCTTGGAAAACTCCAGGGTCCTGGAAATGAGAGGGTGATGGGCTGCCACACCTTCCCAAACTTCTGAGGCCTGCCTGCTTCTAGGTGTCAGCCTCCTGATGCTGTGGTGTGGCCTCAGAATGTGGACCAGGTCAGCCAACTGGCAAGCCTGTGCTACAACCAAGGTGTTCCCATCATCCCATTTGGCACTGGCACCGGTGTTGAAGGGGGAGTCTGTGCTGTGCAGGTATAGTGGGGTGACCTGGGTCCAGGCCCATCACATGGCACATATACGGCTACCTCGCTTGTCATCCTAGAGCTCTGGTGTGGCTCTGGGGGCCTCAGCCACAGGATGGGGTCCTAGAGGTGCTCCTGGCCTAGAGACCTAGTTGGGTAGCCTTCTTGGCATCCCTGCTATCAGGGTGGAGTGTGCATCAACCTGACCCATATGGATCGAATCATGGAGCTGAATACAGAAGACTTCTCTGTGGTGGTGGAGCCTGGCGTCACCCGAAAAGCTCTCAACACCCACCTGCGCGACAGTGGCCTTTGGTTTCCTGTGGGTAGGCCTGGGACTAACCACTGCCCCAGGGTCCTGAGGTCTTGGGAGGGGCTGTTTTGGGGATCTCAGAGGACCCCATCTTTCCCACAAGAGGGAAAGAGTTTCCCAAGTTGCCCTCTGCAGCGCGCTCTCCTTTAGACCCAGGTGCAGATGCTTCTCTGTGTGGCATGGTAGCCACTGGGGCCTCAGGCACCAATGCTGTGCGCTACGGAACCATGCGCCACAATGTGATCAACCTGGAGGTGGTGCTGCCTGATGGCAGACTGCTTCACACCGCAGGCCGCGGCCGGCACTATAGGTGAGCATCGCCTGGCCTCGTTTCGGGGCCTCCTGGATAGGTGAGTGATACTCAGGAAGGCTCTGAACTGTCTGGAGGGCCCGTGACCGTGACTCTCCCCGTGCAAGGCCTGTCTGGTCATTAAGTCCCTGTGATGACAACCCGGGCTGTGGGCGATGGGTCTAAGTCTGTCTTCTAGCTTTACGGTTCTAGACAGAAATCACTCACATGCCTTGGGCCCTCACCTACCTTTGTGTCCCTGGGCCCAGGAAGAGTTCGGCTGGCTACAATCTCACAGGACTCTTTGTGGGCTCGGAGGGGACTCTGGGCATCATTACGTCTGCCACCCTGCGCCTGCACCCTGCACCCGAGGCCACAGTGGCAGCCACATGTGCATTCCCCAGTGTTCAAGCTGCAGTGGACAGCACAGTTCAGATCCTCCAGTCTGCAGTGCCTGTGGCCCGCATTGGTGAGCTAAGGATGGGGTCAGTCGGGGTGGGTTCTGTAGAAAAGCTCCCCGCCCCCAGAAGGCCAGGGCTCACCTAACCAGCCCCCTCCCTGGTGCAGAGTTCCTGGATGACGTCATGATGGATGCCTGCAACAGGTACAGCAAACTGAATTGCCCTGTGGCACCCACACTTTTCCTGGAGTTCCATGGCTCCCAGCAGTCATTAGCAGAACAGCTACAACGCACAGGTGTGCGGGGGAGGGTGGTCCCGGGGGGCCTGCGCTGTCCTAGAACGGGACTAAGATCAGCCTTTGTGTTCCCACTACAGAGGCAATCACTCAGGATAATGGGGGCTCTCACTTCTCCTGGGCCAAGGAGGCCGAAAAGCGCAGCGAGCTTTGGGCAGCACGGCACAATGCGTGGTATGCAGTCCTGGCCCTGTCTCCAGGACGGAAGGTGAGCTGGAGGCTGAGGCGGAGGTGGGATCTGCAGGTCAGCCCATAATCCCTTTCCTCAACCCAGTACTTTACTGCATGGGGAAGGCCGAGGCTCACCAAGGGCTGGCTGAGTGGACATGAGGACTAGGACTATAGACCATTGCACCTTGCACTCCCGACCAGTCTAGAGGGAGAACAGTTCTATGTCCAAAGCTTGGGGATTTTCCATGGGAGCCAGCTCCAGGTGCAGAGCCTTTGGAATTTTATCCTAGGGGATAAAATGGTTTGGAAGGGGGCAGTCCACCCAGAAGGGAAGGCTGGGCAGATTATACAGTCAGTAGTGTGGGGTGCTGGGAACCTGCACGTGGTCCAGGCAGTGGAGACCTGGGCTAATGAACACACCAAGGCTAGCGGGCTAAAGGATAGATGTTTCATTCTATGGCATCAAGATCTCCTGCACTGGTGCTAAGCCTGAGCCACAGCGATTCCTTCCCTGTAGATAGGCAAAAGGTGACAGGGAGACCCACACAAGCTTGCCTTCTGACTCAGGCCTATTCTACGGACGTGTGTGTGCCCATCTCTCGGTTGCCGGAGATCGTGGTAGAGACCAAGGAGGAGCTTAAGGCCTCAAAACTCACAGGTTATGTTCAACATATTTGCTGTTTGGGAGGCGTTGGGGTTAGCCAAGGCCTGGGCAAGGAGGCCAGCAGTGACGGCTTTGTTCTCTGGGCCCCCAGGAGCCATTGTTGGGCATGTGGGTGATGGCAATTTTCACTGCATCCTGCTGGTCAACCCAGATGATGCAGAGGAACAGAGCAGGGTCAATGCCTTTGCAGAAAACCTGGGCAGGTAAGGGCTGAGCCAGGGAGGGGTAGGGGTTGGGGGAAGTCAGAGGCAGAGAAGAGGCTGCTGAGGGTTCCCTCAATTGACCTCTTAGGCGTGCGCTGGCACTCCATGGGACATGCACTGGAGAGCATGGCATCGGGTTGGGGAAGCGGCGGCTGCTGCAAGAAGAAGTTGGCACTGTGGGCGTGGAGACTATGCGGCAGCTCAAAGACACACTGGATCCCCGAGGTCTCATGAACCCAGGCAAAGTGTTATGAGGAACTTGAAATCACACTTGGTGGCCCACAATCCCCAGAATGCAGAGCCCCTGTTCTGGACCCTCCCTTCATGCCACTGACTTTGCAAGAAAAAGAATGACTGACGCCACCTCTGTCTGCCAGGTGTCTTTCTGTAGCTGGGGCTCAAGGTGAAGGTGAAGAGGACGGACTTCCGGAGAGTTACTTTCCTTGCTGTCCTTAGCCTTTTGCTCCAGTAGAAAACCCATGGTGTTTCCCATGGCGTTTCTTCCTGGCTTGCAGAGATGCTGTGGGTCCACTCCGACCCTAAGATCAGATCTCTCTGTTGGTGTCCAGCACCATAGTTCATTCTATACACAGGGATAGGAACACTCCTTTTCTGCATAGGGAAGGAGCCTTCCATTCCACATTGCTAGGCCTTCTCTTTGTCCCATGAATGTGAGCCCTATTTGCAGCTGTATCCTCCCCCCCCCCCCAGCCATTTGTTTTGGGCCTGTCCTCTCAGACTAATAGTAGCCTGGGGAGGTAGATGGAATTCAGGCTTTGGAAGAAAGCCATTCCCAACCCCTCCGCTTTTGTACACCTGAGGCAGAAGACCCACCTGTGGTGGAGGCTACTTAGGATAGCTTCCCCACCAGGCTGGGACTGGAACACTCTCTTCAAGCTACTGCTACACAGGCCATTAAGAATGGAAATGAGATAACCCTCTGTGTACCACCCCTCTCCATGGTATAATGCATTAGCCAACAGCTTTTACCTTCGCAGTCGGGGCCTTGTTCACTTTGGGGCCTGGCAGTTTTGAGATTCCCTGGTCAGAGCACCTGCTGGAGGTACAAGGCAGTTGTTCCCCAGAAGACCACAAGAGGGCGTGTGGCCCCCACAAATCAGAAACACAGCCTCTGCTAACGGACAGCTGCAGACTCTTGGACTAGTTAGTGTCTGAAGCTCCCAGCTTTGGGCCACCCACTTTACAGGGCCAGGTGGCCAGTCTCCAGACCTTTTACCCCTGTGGGTCCCAGTCAACTGCAGTACCATATCCCCTACTCCTAGGTTTGGGGGGTGGGAAAAAAATCGGGAAGGAGCTATAGGCAGGGGAAGCAGTAGTCTCTTGCTCCTCCTCGCTCCTAACTTCTCCCACCGTGCTCCGGGGCAGAGGCCGCCACCCATTACTGTCTCAGTCCCAGTTCCAAGGACCCCTTCTCTGTGACGTCTGTCTCACGGGTCTCTCCCAAACCTCTGCAGGATGTAGAAATCCATACATCAGTTGCTCCATCACCAGGTAGAGTTCCAGTGAACCCTGCCCGGGGATGGCTTGCTTGCTCCTCCCACAAGCCCTCCCAAATTGAGTTCCACTGGGCAGGGCTCCTACACACCCTCCAGGAACAGGCAACTAGTAGGCACTCAATAAACAGCCATTTCCCCACAATTTCTTTTATTAAAGAAAACTCCAAACATACAGAAAAGTTGAAAGAACAAGTACACTATTCACTGAAATATCAGTCATTGAAGATTTAACAATGGACATTTTTGCCGTATTTGCTTTGTGCATTTTTAGGGGGGAACCGTTTGGGGTTAGATTATACATTTCTTGAAATCACTCAACTATATAATTCAGCGTCTATCTCCTAAGAAGGACATTCTCCTATGAGCTTCAATACTATTAAATGGCTATTAGATGGGCGGTTTTCAAAAGTGGCTCCTGGAGCTCTCAGAAGGCTTTCTGGGCTGCTAAGAGCAGAAAGGGGAAGAACCCATCTTTTGGCCCTTCCATTTTTTCTTCCCTCTCAGAAAGGCAGAGCAGGAGCAACATAGGATTCTAGAGAGTTGTCTGGATGGCAGGTGACAAACACAAGTGCCACCTAGGAAGCCCAGACAAGTCTAGTCCACCCTCACACCAGGCAAACTGGGTCCAAATCCAAAGGACATGACACTCAACAGAGGGCTTTGGTGTGCCGGGTGGGGGCGGAAGTCACTGGGGATGAGGTGAGCACCGCCTAGAGAGCCTAGAATAGCACCCGTGTGGGGCCCAGCGCTGCCCCAACCAACTCAACCACCGGACTCTGCCACAGCACTGCCAAAGCAGCCGGGCGCACACAGCCAAGGTGGGCACACACAGCCTGTCTCCAGGCCCAGGGGTCAGGCAAGGAGATCGCTTTCAGGGCTGGGCCCTGCCCCGCCAGCTCTGCTGGTAGGATTATATATAGAACAGGGAGAACACAGTTGCCAGGCAGAAGCTGGAGGTGCTGGGAATAGAACAGTGCCCTCCCTTTGCAGTGACAAAGCTACGAGGAAGCCTATTGCACATGTGCCAGGCCTTTGGGGCATATCCCTGACCCTCGCTCCTCGGAGCTGCAGGACTGTGGCCCCACTTCACAGGCAGGGAATCCGGTTCAGATGAAATGACTTCCTCGCCACTCTGCCAAGAAGTAAAGTGCCCCAGCACAGCCATCCCAGTCTCTGGTGTTAACAGTGCTCACAGTTCAGGTCCCGAGGTCTTAACATTTGGGCTCAAAAGCACTCGGTTCTCTGAGCCTGCCTGTCTGCCTTGGCTCACGTGTCCACTGGCCTCTAACAAATGTCCTTGCAGAGTAGGTGCTTCAGGAAGCACCCGAGGAAAGGTGCCCTCAGAGCAAGAATGGCAGCACAGTACAGACTCGGAGGGCCTGTTGGGACTGGGCCCTGAGGCAGCAGTACAAGGGGCAGGTCTGGAAATGGTCATGGCAGAGATACGTAGCCAGCTGCCTCCAGAGCTTTCCTCAGCAGGCTCTGCAGGAGGCCCTGAAAAGCAACTCCTGGAACCTGGCTAGGAGTCAGGCAGGCACACACTGCCTCCCCCTGGCCTGAGTTTCCTGCCCAGCCCGCAACTTGCCAACTTTTATGAGGCTGAGGGACTGGTTCTGGTTCAGGGACTGAGAGCCGGCAGGCACAGCTCCAAACCAGGGCCTCTTTCTGGGCCTCAGGGAAGCATGCCCATGAGTCAGCACTGAGCTGTGGATGGAGCACAGGCGAGCAGAACGCAGGATGGGGAGCAGAGGTGGTGAGGGACCCTCTGGGCTGGCACCCACATCCTTGCAGCACCTGATGACTGCAAGATCTTTGCCCCTGACTATCTTCCCGGAAACATTCCATTACAACCAGCAATGACAGTAGACTGACAATTACTCCACAATGCTTAAGACTTCAGTTGGGAAAGACACATCTGAACCACCACTGTCCATTCTCTGCCCGGGTGTGGCTGAGAGTCACTGCAGGTGCTGAAGGAGAGCTGGGCTAGGGAGGCGGACACAGGGAAGAAGCCTTTGCTCTCCACTCCTGACTGTGTAACAACACTTCATTAAAATAAGATCACACGGTGCATCTTTTATTAGACATTATTTTAATACCATATCAAAACACCTTGACTGATGAAGAGCTTTTCTCCCGAGCTTTGAACAATTTTAAAACATTTTGTAAGGTTTTTCTTTTTTTGTATTTTAATATATAAATACAGAAACCTATCCTGCATGGGCTGATGCCACGTGTGAACATCAATGGCTAAAATGTTCTCAGTGTGCCTGAAAAAGGGTAGCAGTACATGTTCCTTTAGTAAGTCTAAGTTTTCTCAGAAGAAGAAAAAGAAAAAACCCCACAAGGGCCTAAGAAAAATGCCCAGGCATTTTTTTTTCAGTGTATTTGTGGTTGTTAAATCCTGATTGGACCAGATCCAGGAGGAAAGGCAGGGAAGACAGGGGAATGGCCTGGGGGAGTGTCCTTGATGGGCTGTCTTCCTTTTTCTTTTTTGGCAAAGTAAACCAAGATATCAAAGTACTAAGGGGAGACAAGCGCACAACCAAGCCAGAAAGATGGGACAGAAAAACAAAATGAAACAAATCCCCCAAAGGAGAAAGGTTGGTGACACAGAGAACCAACTGGGGCATTGGGCAAAGGAAGTGACCGTGTGCCCGCCTGCCTGCCTGCCCGCCCGCCCGCCCGCCGTCAGTGCTAGCGGGGAAGACATGGCTATACTTGGTTCTGTCACTGAGTGGGTATTAGCTGGGCAGCAAACAGCAATCTGTAAACATCACGAGGGAAAACACCAGTCGACACTAGACTTTTTTATATAATTTTTTTTGTTGTTGTAAACACTTTAAAGACAGACCCACAACGCCTTTCAAAGGTGAAAAAGAAAATGCCCTTTCCCTCCTGGGTTGAGGGTGAGGGGAAGGATAGAGGTCAATTCATTCTTCTCTCAGACTCGCTCTCATCCAGCTGGGTGTCCTCAGGGAGGAGGGAGGACCATTTTCTGGAAGTCAGTGCAGAAGGGGTGCCCTGTTCCCTCTGGTGTCCCAAGCTCAGCTCTGTCCAGTGTCCCAGGAGCCTCCTCTCAGGAACAGGGCTGTCTGTTCCTGTGTGGGTCGCAAGAAGTCAGTCGTGCTCCATCCGGCCGGCCGAGAGCTGCAGCTGCATCTCACGGTGGCAGCAGGGTGTCCCCGAGGGCAGGCTGGTTGGCAGGGGCGTCTGGTTCAGTCCAGGAAGGCCCCCGGAAGCCAAACGTCATGCCGGCAGGCAATCTGGACCTGCTTTCTGAAGCCAGAGTCCAGTCCCTCTCTCTCTCACCCTTGCTTTGTCTTCTCCCCTTGTCATCAGATTGTGAGGTGAAGGTAAAAAGAGCAAATGTCCCTGATTTGCCTGACACCGTCAGCTGGTCTGGGCATTTACTTGGAATAAATAAAATAAACCTAACAAAAGAAAACAGAACAAAGGAGAGAAAGAGAAGAAAAGAGATCCCCACCCCCCCCAAACCTTTGGATGTGAGATGAAGTGGAATGGGCTATTGTTTTTTCTGGGATCTATGTTCTGTTTATCAGAAAAAGGGGAGGGGGGAGAGCAGAAGGAGGGAGAGAGAGGGAGGGAGGGGGAGAGAGAAATATGCCAGCATAGACCTCAGAAAGCACGGGCAGGGCGGAGGACAGGAGAGGGGTCGGTAGCCTGGGGAGGAAATGGAACAGTTGCACTGGAGACACCTTTGTATGTGTGGGAGGGAGTTGTCATGCTGTCATTGTGACACTGCTGAGTATGGCCCAGAGTCCTCAGATCCCCTAGAAGTGGGGAAAGGTGGCCAGCAGTGAAAAGATCAGACAAGCACTTGGCAGTGGACAGTGTATGTTCCACAGGCCTTCTATTTAGTGATTCTTCCATTTCTAGAGAAACGAGCCTGCGGAGCCTGCCTCCGAGACGTGAGCAAGGATGAGACAGCTGCAGAGCCTGGCCGGGGCTCGTCCGCTTCAGCCGGTGCACTCTGCAGAGGATAGATAGTTCTGCCTTTCCTTAGGGAAAGCACTGTGACTCTACCTCTGCACTGAGTTCCTCTCTCATGTCTCCCCAGGAAATCCCTCCATATCCTGGGGCTGCTCCTGTCTTTCTGCTTCTGCTTTCTCCTTGGAGGGGTGTGTCTCAGGTAGCCTGGCCCTTCTCCCTGAGCTCCCAGAAACTTGACCCTGTAAGCACAGAGCTCCCACCAACTATGGGCTCACCTTTGAGAGGAGTCAGCAAGCCAGCCCAGCAGGGTCAGTCAGCAGGGTGCTCTGGACAAGATCTGTTCACTTCAAACCAGGAGTCTATGCAGCTGGAGTGGGTACCAAGGGGAGACACATCAGCTGCTGACAGCACTGCTCCTGCCAAGGGTGCCTGTCAAGGGGTTGGACTCTTGGGAAAGACTTTCTAAATCTCTCCTGAAAGGACCCCAGGGGAAAATCATTACTCCCTGCTGCAGGAAAGGGAACAATATCAAGAATGATGAATGCACGGGGGCAGAGGTGGAGCTGGAGAGTAGGGTCAGTGGTTGAGAGTGCATGCTGCTCTTCCAGAGGACCCAAGTTCAGTTCACAGTCCCATAAATGCAACTGGCCTTGGTAGGATCTTGCACTCAGATCCACACACACACACACACACACACACACACACACACACACACACACACACACACACACACGACCCTGGGGGCTGGGCAGAGAGCTCAGTGGTTAAGAGCCCTAGCTGCTCTTTCAGAAGAGCAAGGTTCAGTTCTTACCACTCACATTGTGGCTCACAAACATCTTTAACTCCAGCTCCCGTGGATTCAATGCCTTCTTCTGGTCTCAGTGGGTACCAGGCACACATATCACACACATCATATAAATAGATGCAAGCAAAATACCCATGCACATCAAATAAAAAAATAAGCTGGGTGTAGTTGTGGTGTACAACTTTAACCCCAGTTCAGAGGCAAAAGCAGGTGGATCTCTGTAAGTTCAAGGCCAGCCTAATCTACAGAGTAAGCTCCAGGATAGCTGAAGCTACATAGTGAAATCCTGTCTTAATAAATCAATAAAAAAATTTAGAACCCCCCAAAAGAAAAGAGAAACAAACAAACGAACAAACAAAAAACCCAAGAATGATCCTGGCTCAGCAGGAGGCAGGGGCAGTAGGGCAGGCTCTGGTAGATCTGGCTTTGCAGGAAGGGCAAGAGTGGTCTTGTAAGGCTCAAATCCCAAGTACAAGGAGCCAGGGCAGCAACAGTTAATACCAAGAAGGTGAGACCAGATAAGAGGCTGGCAGTGATAAGCATGGCCAGATCTGGGGTGATGAGGGCACCCCTCTCAGGAGCTCCAAGCCTACCTCGCTTGGTTACAACAGTAGGAAGGGGAGCTAGACCCTTGGGCTCTTTGACACTGCTAAATAAGGAAGCCATCCCATAACCAAAGAGGGTTGGATGGCTGGTGAAGGCGATCTACCCCCTTGGATGTCGTACCTTTTGTGATAGATGCACAGGCAAGGCAGCCTGGCTATCGTGTCCCCCTGAAGCAGCTCCTCCAGGCAGATCACACACTCACCCGCATCTTTAGTCAGCACATCATCTGGAAGAGAGACAGGGAGACCAACAGGGTTAATCAGGGTGGGTGGCACAGAGCAAACACAGGTCTAGAACTACTTGCATTACCTAAACCACTGTGCTTCATGTGCCGGGGAACACAGCAATGGGAGAAACAACTAGAAGAGCCCTCTGAGCCAGAAGCCCAGGCATTAGGGGTATGGAAGAAAAGTGCTTACTCACTTTAGAAAAGTTCACAGTAATATGAGCCAAAGGCATAGTCTGCGGTGGGAGGGATTAGATTCCAGACAAAAGAAACTGTCAAGGCACCTGGGAACTTGGAGAAGTCTGCTAAGACAGACTGAAGAGACTCAAGGAGTCACAGGCAAGGGTAAAATCAAGTCCCAAGGGCAGAATCTTGCTGTGCTGTTGAACTGCATCTCCTCGCTTAGCCAAGAGGCACTAGAGGTGGGGAAGGGGAGCTCACTCTGGAGGCCAACTCCACCATGGAGCAACAGCACATTTGCTAACAACGGTCGGGCAACAGCCTGCATATGTCATTAAGAGACTTCACAGGGAAAGGAAAGCTTAGAGTGATGAATCCAGAGGTGTGTATCTCCACAAGGCCATAAATCTGAGTTAGTCTAGATGTGGGGTTCAGAATAGATGTGGGGCAACATGTACAGAGAACAGACTATCGAGACTGTCCAAGGAGAAAGTTTAGACTGAATGCTAATAAAGCCATAGACAGACTTGGTAATGCAGAGGTGACATGGATCACATGCGAGTCCCCCCACACCACAACACAACACCAAATGAACAGTCTATGGCTGTTCAGGAAGGTGAGTTTAGATTACCTTCCACCACACGGGTAGTAAGTAATGACACATAATGATATTCTGTGTCTATGTTTTCCTTTGAGCTGCAGGATCTTATAAGCTAGGCACGGGACACTGCCATGTTCATTGTGTGAATGAGGAAACCCAGAGACGCCACATGTCTTGCCATTGTCAGGGACTTGAGAATGGTCCAGGATTGGGGTCCTTTGCTGTGGTAACCTCTCTTCCCACTGCTGTTTGTGTCCTGATTATTTTGGCGGAAAGAAAACTATTAAAAACCCATAAAATACCAATTATTCAGTTGGGCAGTGGTGGCACACGCCTTTAATCCTAGCACTTGGGAGGCCAGTCTGGTCTACTGAGTGAGTTCCACGACAGCCAGGGCTACACAAAGAAACCCTGTCTCAACAACACAACAACAACAACAAACCAACCAACCAAACCAAACCAAAAAATAAATAAATAAATAAAAAAAGAAGTGCACTGATGAGGAGGTTTGAATAGGAATGGCCCTCACAGGCTCATATATTTGAATGCTTGGTCATTACGGAGTGGAGTACCCTGACAGGAATTAGGAGATAATGGCCTTATTGAAGGGGTGTGGGCTTTGGGTTTCAAATGTTCAAGTCGGGCCCAGTGTCTCCCTCTTCCTGCTTCCTGCTGATCCAGATGTAAAACTCTCAGCTATCTCTAAAGCGCCATGTCTGTCTGCACGCTGCCATGCTTCTTGCCATGATGATAATGTATTAAACCCTTGAAACTATAAGCCAGCTCCAATTAAACATTGTACTTTATAAGCGTTGCTGTGGTCATGGTGTCTTCACAACAACAGAATAGTGACTAAGACAACTAGAATTTGCATTTTACTTGAGACTGTATTCAAAAGGTAAGATGGATTGTGAACAGACAAAGGGGATATAATATAATGCAGGACCCAAGGGACAGATGTTCACTGTAAAGGCTTTTTAACTTTGATATGCCTGATGCTTTTTCTGGTAACATGCTGGAGAACAAAAACCTCAATAGGGGGCTGGAGAGATGGCTCAGAGGTTAAGAGCACTGACTGCTCTTCCAGAGGTCATGAGTTCAATTCCCAGCAACCACATGGTGGCTCACAACCATCTGTAATGAGATCTGGTGCCCTCTGCTGGTGTGTAGACGTACATGGGGGCAGGGCGTTGTGTTCATAATAAATAAATCTTTAAAAAAAAAAAAAAACCTCAATAGGGATGGGAGGAAAACTTGCTTAGTCTAGAGACAGTAGAGTCATCCTGGAGACATCCTTGGTCATTTCTTCCCCATTCTCTGGGACATCTCACCCCTGACATGGGCTTTCAAGCTACAGTCCTCTTTGTCTGCCTCTCAGAGTCCAAAACAGTTTTCCTTCGGAATCACCCTACCAATGGGTAACTCAGCAGTGAACTCAAGAAGGAAGTTAGACTCCTGTGTTCCCAGCAGCTTCCCACACAGTCTGTGCTCACTGTCTCATCTGCACCTGCTCTGAGAGCCCAGGTGGCCCCCAGGATGCTAGTGTGGGGTGGGGAGCAGATATGGAGATTGGGCTCGGAGGCTTTCTTCCTTAACAGGACTGACTTGACTCAAATGAGCAGGGAAAACAAAACACGGGTGATTCATTTAGTCTCCACAGGTAGAGCCTTGAACACTTGTCAATGAAGGACTAGCAGACCCAGACTTAAACACCTGCTGATTAAATGCAGACTTTTCATGGCCTCTTCACAAACCAATTTTATGTACCTTACTAGCAAGCCTCGGTGTCTGCAGCATGGTATGAAGAACGGAACCTTGTAGTTGCCCTGTTCAGCTGACAGAGAGTAAGGAGCACAAAACACTGGGACTGAGGCTGTGAAAGGTCATCTGGAGGTTCTATGGTGGCCTGAAGGAATAAGGGGCTTGGAATCTGGGTTGTCAAGATGGCTTAGTGCATAACGGTTTCTGAAGACTTGAGTTTGTGCTCCAGACACACATGGTGAAAGGAGAGAACCAACTGTTGCCAAGTTGTCCTCTGACCTGCCCCACCCCCACCCCACCCCCCACAGTGGCCAATGTAATGAAAAAAGGAAGGCTTAAAATCTGACAGTGCAGGGAATCCAATAGTGCCCACAACTAGCCCAGAACCCAGGGAGCAAAGGGCCCTTTAAGAGGTCTCTTTAAAACCTACGGATTCAATCATCAGGGCTCAGAGAATGAGCAGCCACCACATGTCCCTGGGATTGGAAAGGGGATTAGAAATCTTGGAGCAGAGGCTTGGCTATCAGCATTTCTGTGAGACTTCCACACTCACCTGACAGGGACTCTGGCACAAAGCCAAGGAACCTGGACCTGGTATACACGGAGATAACAATGCCGATGGATTGAGTGCTCCCTGACATGTCCAGGGGCCCTGGGGGAGGGAGGTCAGCAAATTCTTGACAGTGAAGAGAGGAACAAAGGGGAGCTTTGCCTGTGGGTTCTGTTCTTTACTTGGTGCCTCTGGAGCTGCTCCCAACCAATGTCATTGCCCACGGGGAGGTGTGGCCTGCCTGGGGTAGTATCAGGCAGTACCGTGCCAAGGCGTATGACCACACAAGGAAACAGGAGACGTAAAGCCTGTGATGCATAGGGATGGAGGACATGGCCTCTCTGCTCTCTAAGATCAGGTACAGCACTTTTGACACCTGTCATCTGTCACGGAAAAGCCAAGGAGGAGAAGCAGGAGAAGGAGGGAAAGGCCCTTGCTTTCCTGAGCTAGCTACAGACCAAGAACTTCAGAGAAATCTCAGAGAACCCTGCAGACCCAGGGAGAGGGACATTTACGCAGCTAAGTGGCCACCAACCTCAAGCCTGAGTTCTTGTCAGGGTCCAGGCCATATGAGCGACTTCCCTTGTGGTTTGAAAACACTACCCATCTCACAGGGAGCTTAAGCTTTCCTTTTCTTTAAGACGTATGGGGGTGCTCACAATGGACAGGGCAGTCTGAGGTCAGCACTGTTGCCTCTGACATCCTAGGACTTAGCTGACCCAGGAAGTGCTCTGGCAAGGCACTCATCAAGGGGCTCCAGAATTCTTTGTGGCATGGGGCTTGTGAGGGAAGGCTGAGAGCAGCTCAGAGTTGGCTAAGAGCAGGGCATGCATCTACATTTCCCCCTGCTGCATGTCAGTAAGGAGGATGGGAGCCAAAGGGAAAACACCCAGCAGAAGGTGTAGCTTAGGCACAGGTGAGTGTCTGGTCTTATGGCATCTCTGGCAAGTACAGAGCCACCACTGGCCCGATGTATTGGCAGACAGGACAAAGTATCTCTGACTCCTTTCTTAGCAATGCTGGAGTGTCCTACTCTCCAGACAGAGATCTTAAGCACAGTGTCTCCTATCAGCAGAGGTATCCTGTCCCAACACCCCTGGATTTTATTAGGTATAATCCAATGTTTTGACAAATTTGGCTGCAATGAGGATACCCAGAGGGGTAAAGCCAACTAAATAAAGCAAAGGCCTGGGATGTTTCATAGTCACAAAAGCTGCTTCCAGCTTCTCCATGAAGTGTCCTCTCCTCTAGCCTCTTAGAGCTTAGGGAGATGACTTGGTTGGTAAAGTGCCTGACACTGAGGCACAATATGTGTTCATATTCCCAGCATGTTGGCATGTGTCTCTAATATTAGCACAGAAGAGTTAAAGACAGGAGGATTCCTAGAGTTCATTAGGAAGTCAGTGTAGCCAAATCCATAAGCTCCAGGTTCAATGAGAGACCCCCATCTCAAAAAATAAGAGGAGGGACTGAAGAGATGGCTCAGTAGTTAGGCTCCCTTGTTGCTTTTGCAGAAGACCTGGGCTTAGTTACCAGCACCCACCTAGAGGCTCAAAACATCAGTAACTCTAGTTCCAGGGGATCTGATATTTTGACCTCCAAGGGTACTAGGCATGTATGTGGTGCACACATAGACATGCAGGTAAAACATTCATAAAATAAAGCTAATCTAAAAAAATTAAAGATGAGGGAGACATCTGATGTTAACCTCTGGCCTTTACTTTTACCCACATACATGGTCACATACATGTCCCACTTCCTCCAAGAAAGTATGCTGGTAAGATGGCATGGTAGGTAACTTGTTGCAGAGCCTGACAACCTGAGTCCAGTGCCTGGAATCCAGAGTCCCCACTATGTTGTCTTCCGGCCTCCACTTGTGTGCAATGGTATACGCCCACATGTGGGAGTGTACACACAGGAACACAGCAAATGAAAAGGAAGGGAGGGAGGGAGGGAGGAGCACACACAAAAGCATTTTCGGAGCTCTGAAGACAGGGTAACGTCTCTGGGCAAAGAAGGGGGAGAACATCCAAAGCAAGAAGCCAGGCATGGCCTGTACCCCAGAACAGAACTCGGGAGTCTCCTGAAGCAGCGGATCGGTTGCCATGTCCTTGATGCTGTAGCAGAGCACCTGCCCCAACAGAACATTCCTCCTTCCTTCTCTTCCTCCTTTTCTTCTTCCTCATCCATGTTTGTTTGTTTAGTTTGTCAAGACAGGGTTTCTCTGTGTAGTCCTGGATGTCTTGGAAATTGCTCTGTAGACCAGGCTAGTCTCTACCTCCCAAGGGCTGGGATTAAAGGTGTGTCACCACTGCCTGGCACAATGTTCTTCTGCTAAGGAAAAGGCATCCCTCCATCGCAGGAGCTTCCGTATTGCTACTCAGGCAGTATAATGGTCAGAGATTTTAGAGGGAGAAAGATATAGGTTCTTTCTCCTTTTAGAAGGAGAAAGATATAGAATCAAGTTCATCCAGAGGGCTCCTTACCTCCTTCCTCTCTTCTCTGTAACTCCCTCAGCTTCTAGCATCCTAGGCTGCCACAGGAGGGCCCAGCAAGGTGACAATAGTAACAGCTGCTGCTTGGGGCTTGTCCGCTTGTCCCCAGCGGGGGGGGGCTCTGATGGTCGCTGGCCTCCCAGGGTGAGTCCCTGCCTTGGCAGCGCTCTTTCTCTAGGCACTGGTTGGACCAGTGAATCTGGTTTTGCTTTCCCTAAATTTTAAAAAATAATCTGGCAGGCAACTACTGGAGGCCTTCCAAGCCTCCACTTGGGCTAACCTTCATAATAAGAAAAATACTACTTTCTATCTGCCTCATTTAGGAGGCTCCCACTTTTTTCCTTTGGTGGTTAACTAAATTTCATCTTACACAACTATCATAAATTTTACAGAAAGTTCCTCAGTTGGCACTGGAGACTGTGGAAGGTGAGAGAGAATGCGTGTGCATGTGCAGGTCTCCCAGAGCTTGCTTTAAGTTCACTGTGCTCACTCTCCACGCTCCTTTCCTCACACACCACAGGCATGCACTCTAACCATGAGCTGCATTCTCAGCCCTCTAGTTGAAGAAAAAAGATGTATTTAATTATTTTGTGTGTATAAGCGTTTGCCTGCATGTATGTGTATGCACCACATGTGTGTCTGGTGTCCAAGGAGGTGGTGAACCTCCATGCCAGTGCTCAGACTCAAGCTGGGTCCTTTGCCAAGAACAAGTGTTCTTAACCACTGAGCCAACTCTGCAGTCTCTCCGGCCACTTTTCATGAGAAAACAACTTCACCACCACTGAAGCAAGCTTCACATCGCTCGTTTACAGAGAGATCCCAAGAGCTCATGGCCTACAGAGATGTCTCCCTTACTCTTTTAAAAAGTTTACTTTAAAGATTTATTCATGTGTACAGGTGTTTTACCTGTATGTATGTCTGTGTACCACAGGTGTTCCTGGTTCTTGTGGGAAGGAGAAGGCATTAGATTAGATCCCTTGGAACTGGAGTTACAGATGTCTATGAGCTGGCACATGGGTGCTGGGAATTGAATTCACATCTCACAGAAGAGCAGCCAAGTTCCTAACTGCTGAGCCATCTTTTTGTACCTGCTTCTCCTTCTTTTAAAGTTGATAAGGTAAAATATGTGAGATTGGGGTGATGAGAAACTAGGTAGACTATGTTACCATGACAACCAAAGTAATCCCAGAGTTCCTGCTTTGGATGCTTTGGCCTAAGTCTGAATTCAAAACATGTCCTGGGGACTCCAGTCACACACAGGGTTTCTCTGTGTATCCTTGGCTGTCCTGGAACTCAGAGATCTGCCTGCATCTGCTCCAGAGTGCTGGGATTAGAGGCAAGAGGCACCACACCTGGCCCCAAACAATGTCCTCTTTTATCTAGTGTATTCAGAAAAAAAAAAGACTAAGTATGAGGTGTCCATGCTGCCACAGCCTCCAATCTGCATTAGTCATGTGTACAGAGGAGCCAGACATGGACTCTGAAGCCCTTCCATCTCCTCAGGGTAAACTCTACTCAAGGGCTAGAGGTAACTGGCCTCCCTACCTCTGGCAGGAAAAGACTGGCTCTTACAAGACATTCCTGAACTGAAAGTCTGCAAGCCAGGCGGTGGTGGTGCATGCCTTTAATCCCAGCACCCAGGAGGCAGAGGCAGGTGGATTTCTCTGAGTTCGAGACCAGCCTGGTCTACAAGAGCTAGTTCCAGGACAGGCTCCAAAGCCAGAGAAACTCTGTGTCCAAAAACAAAAACAAAACAAAACAAGTCTGTAGCTTCCAGACAGGGAGAGGTAGCTGCTCATGGAAAGGATGAGAGAGAGAACCACAGTGGCTCTGTCTTAGATAGCCTACCTTCCCTTCCTCTAAGGTAACGGTTTTCATGAGGGTCCTGACCCCTCTGGGGCTAAATGACCCTTTCACAGGGGCTGCATCTGCATATCAGATACTTAGAATTCATAACAGTAGCCAAATTACAGTTATGAAGCAACAACAAAAATAATTGTGTGGTTGAGTTCACCACAACATGAGCAACTGTATTAAGGGATTGAAGCGTTAGAACTGTTGAGAACCACTGCTCTAAGGGGACTTCTCCAGGTTGTTGTGAGAGGGATGGACCGGCAGCACCAGCCACTCAAGTGATGCTACACAGGAAGACCTGGGTTTCTGGGAAAGGGGCTAGAGACCCTCACCTTCCCCATTTCCCACACGAGCCTGTGAGGTGACTCTGCTTTGTCGAGTCCTGACAGCACTTCGTCTGCCACAGATATTATTACAAAGCTCTCCCCAATGACTCTAAAAGCCAAGTTCTCTCAGGCCAAGCCCCCTGTGAAGCTGCTTTGTGCTATGACAGCAAAGGCAGTGTCTACAGAGAGCTTTCGCCAGCAACCCACAGGACAGAACAGTCTTCATGTGGGACACAGGGAAAACCACTCTCCTTCATGGTCCCAGGCAGAGATGGGTATCAGGGACAAAGCCAAGCTTGAGTAGGGGAAGGCAAAAGCAAGAGACCAAGAGCATGGCAGTCACAGAGAAAAGGAAAGGCTGTTTGCTGGAGAAATGAGGGGCTCATTGGGGGGAAAGACAGAGCCACAGCCTGCCCTGCAGCTAGCCTTCTGGCATGACCAGAGGACTTCAGGCTGCATGCACCATGACAGATAACATGTCCTCCTGCAACTGGGATCCTTTGGCCAGCAAGTAAGAGATACAAGAATAAACATTTGTTTTTTCTTGATTTTGGTGATAGGGTTTCTCTGTGGCTTTGGAGGCTGTACCGGAACTAGCTCTTGTAGACCAGGCTGGTCTCAAACTCTGCCTTCTGAGTGCTGGGATTAAAGGCGTGCGCCACATGCCCGGCTTAAGAACATAAATCTTGTTGGAAAATCTAAAATTTACAAAATATGATTTTTGGGGGTGTTGCTAAAATGAAATCCAGGGCCTTGTGCATGCCAGGCAAGCATTCTATCACTGACCTACATCTCTAGTCCTTGAAATTTCTGAGTAAGGACATGATGCTCAAAAACTGCTGAGAGCTTTCTCACCACTATAGCCCCAACCAGGGACCTGCCTGCCTTGGCCATTCCCCAGCCACCCCAACTTATAACCAAGGCTCTCTAGAACAGCAGGTTCTCCACTGCCACACAGGTATTGCTGCTAAAAGAACACTATACAGAGCCCAACCACATGGAGGCTATGCCCCAACTGTCCAACTTATCTTGACATCAGGAAGCAGATGAGATAGACAGCCCTTACCATTGTAAGAGAGGCGAGGTTTGCTCAGACACATTATAAAGTGCATTTCCATCTCATCGGAAGCCACAGACTTGGAGCAAATGGGGCACTTGAAACCTGGAAGAGAGGAAAGCAGCATGAAGTATCTTTTCCAAATCCAGATATCCATAGTCAGTATGGACATGCTCAACCACAACATCTGTGTGGAATCAGCACTCTGGACACAGACAATGTGGACAGAGCTAAGATCAATTTCTCCTTCACTAAGTCACTAAGACTTGACTTTCTCCACAGTCTTCAGCTTTCACCAGGGTGCTCTGCCACACAGCATCTGACAGAACTTGCTGACCTGCATTTCATGTTATTTTAGACCCTTTTCAATGGGGCCTAGTAGACCACAAGGTCAGTGAAGCAGCAAACCAAGGCAGCCAAATAATCTTTAAATAACATAGAGTAATGCCCTTCCATGTCCACCAAGGGAGGAGTCCTGCTGTCCTGCACCTCCACCCCTCCACCCTCAGTAGCACCTTCACCCAAGAATCCTTTGCCTCCCTCGAAACTAAGACATCTCTACCCCTTAGGAAGTATGTGAGCAGGGTGGGGGAGGAGGGGCACAGCTCTTCAGAATGCCCCTAAACGCTACTAAGTAAGGCAGCTGTTCCCAATGCCAGGTGAACACAGGACATTGTAATCTCCTACTTTATTCCTAGGGCAATCGGGACCCTTATACAACAAAGGGTTTCATCAGCATTTTAACAGTACTGGTAAATTCTGGTTGATAATCTTCTGAGTTCAACTACAATTAGGCAAAGCTAACCCTCCCCCCCACACACACAGAGTTTGGTCTCTGCCCCTCCCTCCCCCCAGCACTGATGAACATGCCCAGTGATAAGATAGATGAATTGTTATTATTTCAATCTTTTCCATTTTATATTATTGAACAGTTCCAAAGGGATCAATAACTTTTTTGGGGGGGCGGGGGTTTGGTTTTTCAAGCCAGGATTTATCAATCCTGGAACTCACTCTGTAGATTGGGCTGGCCTCAAACTCACAAAGATGCACCTGCCTCTGCCTCCTGAGTACTGGGATTAAAGGTGTGTGCCACCATCTGGCTGTACCAATGGCTCTTACCTGGCCTGGCCATGCTAACTAACATCACAGAACACGTCTAACTACTATTGCAGAGATTTCACTCTTCCATTAGTTTTCACTTAGAACTCTCATAGTTTGATGCTCATAATGACCACTTACAATATTTATTTTTTAAATAGTGTGTGTTTTGCTTACATATATGTATGTGCAGCACATATGTGCCAGGTACCATGCAGGTCAGAAGAGGGCATCAGATTTCCTTGAAGTGGAGTTATAGTTGGTTGTGAGTTACCATGTGGCTCCTGGGAACCAAACCTGGGTTCTCTGCAAGAGCAAACAGTACTATAGTAAGCCACCTCTCTTCAGTCTCCTCTCCACATGCTGCCTTTTTTGAGATAGGGCCTTACTGTGTAGTCCTGGCTCGTCTGGAATTTGCTATGCAGACCAGGTTGGCTTGAACTAACAGATCTGCCTGCCTCTGCCTCCTCTGAAACATTTTTTTTTTTTTTTTTTTTGGTTTTTTGAGACAGGGTTTCTCTGTGGCTTTGGAGGCTGTCCTGGAACTAGCTCTTGTAGACCAGGCTGGCCTCGAACTCACAGAGATCCGCCTGCCTCTGCCTCCCGAGTGCTGGGATTAAAGGCGTGCGCCACCAACGCCCGGCAGCCTCTGAAACATTTTTAAAGAAACAGATAAAAGGCCAAGTATTCAAATACACAGTTGTGAGTCCCAAGATAGAGGAGTCCACACCTTCTCCAGTGTCTCTCACATGATGCTTTGTTAATATGCATGGAGAGCTGTGACTGGGGTAAAGTGGCACAGAAATAGGAAGCAAGTCACACAGGGTCTTTAAATCTTTTCCTCAGTGATAATGTAAAAAAAAAAAAAAAAAAGCATCCATGGCTGGTGGCACTGTGGCACTTGCCCTTAATCCCAACACTCAGAAAGCAGAGGCAGGTGGATCTCTTTGACTTTGAAACAAGGCTGGTCTACAGAATGAGTTTTAGGACCACAGAGAGAAACCCTGTCTCGACCTCCTCCCCCAATTAAAAAAAAAAAAAAAAGACATATGCCACCATAGCCAGTCGTGATAAAGCTATAGGACCAAAGAGAACATTTGGAGCTCAGCTAACCACAGCCAAAGTGGACTCCATTCCATAGCCCCTATTCCCCAGGCCCATTTCCTTAAAAATTCTCAGCATCTAAACACCTCACCTAAAATCGTAGAAACAGTACCAATATCTGACCTCTGCATGGTTACCAGTCCTTGAGTAACAAAACCAGAAGACCTTTAGAAACCTGGGATGGGGCCGCGCTGTCCCTAGTTTTCTGGCAGAAGTAGGCTGCTTATTTTTTAAGTCAGCTTAGAAAGGTGCAGATCCGGTGTCACATATGTAATGGAGACGAGGAATAAAGACACTTCATTTCCAATCTAAGTTTTGTGTGTTTACAAAAGATTTTCTGATGTTTCCAACTCCAAAGAACAAGGTTTCTTAAGGATTTAAACGGCTCTGAAAATACTTGTTTGCTGTGTCGCTAGGTTAGCACTGTGGGCAGGTGGAGAGCTGCGGCTGTAGTGACGTGAAGGAGACGCTCGACACCCTCCTTCCAACTCTAGTCTGGGCAGACAGAGGTATCCGGGTGACATGCTACCAGAAAAGTGCACACTTCCCCAGCACTTCTGAGAAGATTCAGGGAACGCCTCAGTCAGCATGGCAACAGTCCTGTATTTGAGTGAAGCTCCTGGGTTTGGAGCGATCTCTTCACTATACTGAAGAGAGAGCAGGCCCCAGAGCAGGGTGAGGTCGAAGGCTGAGATGGTAGAGCTGGGACGACGCTGGGTTTCTTGGGTCTCAGCCCACATGATTTTGAGAAAGAGGTGAGCTGGGAAACATGACCTGTGGTAGACAGATGAACAGCAGCGTGGGGGGACAATCACGCTTTTGCTTTACCTTATTTTACAAGGCCCATGAAGTAATTAGGAACTATATTTATACAAGCAGAAAATGACAAGATGACCAGGGTTTTCTAGACTCAAGACCTTGGCAAGTAATATCTCTCTCCCAAGCCCTCAGTTTTATTACTGAAAAAAAAAAATGGAGGAACTGATCTCATGTTTGCAAAGACTGAACAAGATAACATCATCATCATGCAGGAACAGAGAGTCAGAGGAAGGACTTAGTTATAAGACCAAGACTAAGACTAAGATATACTTGCAGACCAAGAAGGCCAGAGCCATATAGACTCTGTTGGGTCCCACCAGTGGTACTTTCCATCCTGCCAATGTGGAAACAAGTCTCCTCTTGCAATATAATAGTTAAGGAGTATTTTGCACTTACTGAGTAATTTCTAAGGACAGCCACAGTGTTTTACACAACTTCTTATTTATCATACAGCTTAAGTACTACCAATAGGCAGCTACTATATTAACTCTATTTCATAGAAACACGGAGAAGGTCAAAAGCTAAAGTAACTTGTTTAACATTAACAGAGCCAGAAAGAGAGAGCTGACGCCCAGCAAGTCTGGCCACAAGCCAGCACCCAGCTGGACCACTGCCTGACCAACACAGGAGAAGTGGTCAGCAGAAAACAAAACACAGATAGGTCTTCAAAGCACTTCAAATTTTCTTCGATGCTCCACAGACATGTTTCTAGATAACCACTAAACATGGATAATAATTTTTTCCCTAGGAATTCTGTCAGTGTAGAAGGCTAGCTCTCCAGAATTCAGCATTCTATTTGGCACAGAGCCTGAAGCACTGGCTGTTAAGATGCTGAGTTTGCATATTACCTTTCAAATGAAAATAAAGGGCAAAAGGTAAGAGGGGAAGAAAAGAGATGGAGAGCTAAGGGGGAAAAGCTAATGTCACCACCTTCTTTCCTGAAAGGTCATGTGATGATCAAGATGGATTCTACCACTTTACTCCCCCAATCTTTTCTTGTATTTGTCCAGTCTTGATTCAGCACCAATAGCCCTATGGAATGACAAATACTGATATTTATGAACTATCTGGAGGTTAAAATTTCTTGAAATCTTGATCCCATTTTGGAAGGAAGTCTGCATCGGATGAAAATCAGCCTTGCAAACTAAGATAAACAAAGGTCTGCAGAGGAAACCAAGGCACCTGACTTTCTCAGACCTCCTCAGAGGTCTCAGTAGTGCTTCAGAGTGGCTAACAAACAGCTTTTCTTTCCTTCCAGAGAAAACCACAGGTGGCCTACCCCACAAACGCTCCTGGAGCGGCTCCCAGCCCCTGTCCTCCACATGGGGCAGATGCCACATTAGCCACTGCCACTAGTTAAAGCTTGCTGGCTAAGTAACTTGTTTCCTGTCAGTGCACTGAGGCAGAGGTGATGGCTTAGGCAGCTGGTCCGTTGACCTGTTCTGATAATGTCTTAAATGAGGAAGGAGTGCATCAATGTTCACTGGCCTGACTCTGTGCTTGGCGGCTCTATCATGCAAATATTGCTACAAGATTCAATTAAGAGTAGCCAACAGAGGCCCATAATGAAGATCCATAATGAAGATCTCTTTTCTCAGCCAGAATAGCAAAGGGGACTGAGCCTCCAGAGCCCACCTGCTTCTTTTCTACAAGCGCCTATTTGAATGGGAGTCAGAGACTCAAGCCAAGAGAAGGTGAGTCTGCAATGTACCAGGTCAAGCGAACCCACTCACAATGTCAGGTTAGGACCACTGGCAAGTGGACCAAGAGTGACCTCAACAAAGCTCAGAGTCATGTGTTTAAAAAGCTCCTTCCTGGGGCATGCTAACCTGGCTTCCTAGTCTGAGGACAGCACCAGGTAAGGATGAGATAACTGGTTCCAGAGGGCTCCCAACCCACCTCCCAAATATTCCACAATGTAAGTTAAGAATCTCCACACTCTGGGCACAGATGTATTTATGTATCTTCCCAAACTGTAGCCTTTTCCTTTAAGACCTGATTTCCTGGGCAGGACCAAGAGCTGGCTGCTTGTTGCTCCAGTTTCTCTCACCACCCTCCCAATGCTGATGCGCTATTTTAATGGC